ACACAAAAGCGACCTAAAGCTACTTCTAGTTGTTGTGTGAAGGTGAAACTAGTCGTTATCACGCCTTAAAGACGCCTAAGGCGCGTAAAGCTAAAATTACACACATTTCTTAATGTTACTTGCAAGTGAGTGTTCATATACAGGCCCCTATTGTCTTTGACCCCATGGAAAAGAATCAGTGACTAACGGAGCTTTTCAGAAGAAGACTGCAAGACGCGTGTTCCATGTCATAATTTGTTTCTCTGAAGATGGCACACATGGGCCGAAACGTGTTGTCCTAGACAGTAAACTTCACATGCTGGAAGGCGTGTTTTGTGGACAGGAATATGTTAAGTACGTATTATTTATATTGTATGTAAGATTTGAGGTTTTCACGGCGGTGACCATGAAGTATGCCGTGTTCTGGGATGTGGCGCCGTGTAGATCTTGTGTGGACCGACGTCTGCAGCCACCTGCTCACTCTGGTTTCCCACGAGCTGATTTTTGTACCCTGAAGACGGAGGCAATACGTTCCTCCGAAACATCGGTTCACACAAGATCTACACGGCACCACATCCCAGAAGACGGCATTCTTCATGCATATTGAAAACTATAATGTAGAACACAGAACTGTCAACGGTGCGAAATAAGATTTAAATTGCGACCTAAGTATGTCTGCCTGGCTTCTTTATGTTGAGTAGACGTTTCGGTTACACAAGGTGTGCCACAATACATGAAATCGTACATATAAAAATAAAGAATTTTAAATACCTGAATCATTATTTGATTGTAGTATGTTTAAACTAATATTCTGTTAAAATTTATTTATATAAATCCAGGATTGTCATGGCAAAAGCTGCATTTAGCAAGAAGAAGAATCTTTTTACCAGCAAATTCGACTTAAATTTGAGAAAGAAACTAGTGAAATCCTTTATTTGGAGCATTGCTTCTTATGGGGCTGAAACTTGGACACTTAGGGCAGAAACACCTGGAAAGTTTTGAAATGTGGTGTTGGAGAAGGATGGAGAAGATTAGTTGGACCGATTATGTGAGAAATGAAGAAGTGTTATTTAGAGTGAGTGAGCAGAGGAATATCCTACACGAAATAAGAAAACGGAAGGCTAATTGGATTGGTCATATCTTAGGCGGTAACTGCCTTCTTAAAGAAGTTATTGAAGGAAAGATAGACGGGAGGATAGAAGTGACCAGAAGACGATGAAGAAGACGTAAGAAGATGCTGGATGACCTTGGGGACAGAAGAGGATATTTTCATTTGAAGAAGAAAGCTCTAGATCGCATCAAATGGAGGAACTGTTTTGGAAGAGACTGTGTACCTGTCGTCTTGACTGATTACAGATGAATGAATATATATTATGTGACATGTAGAACCATTGTCAAGTAACAGCTGTGTAAACAGGCGACATTACAGTAGCCAGTGCTAGGGAACAGCTCTATGGACATGTTTCCCCTGAAGTGAGAGAACACACAATAAAGGAAGAAACGTTTTCTCTACGGTCTTTGGTGCTTAATCAATTAAGAACAGGGACTGTTTTTTCATTAGTCTTAACCTTTTATGATAAAAATGTAACTCAGATATTTTAAGTCGTTTATTTTTTTTTTAAATTTTCCAGAAATGTCGTGGAATTTGAGGTCCTGGAAATTGGGCCCTAATGTAGATTTTGGTCTAAAAACCTGAAACGAAAGAAGAGTAGAGTGCCATTGTGTCCCTGGGGGATTGATATTCAAATTATTTATTAAGATATTGGTGTGAGCTTGTGGGCTGGATTCAGCTGGCTCGGGATAGGGACCTGTTTCGACTTTTGTGGACACAATATTCAATCATTACTGCCATTAAAGGGGCTAAATTTTGTCAGTAGCTGAGCTATTGTTGGGACCAGTGGGTCCTGTGGGGACTCTTGTATCTTCAAGAACTGCACTTTTCTCAGTTTCCTAGGTAACAACGCTGGCGACAATGGTATGATTAATGAATATGGAGCAGTTTGTGGAATAAGAATTGGCAGGGAGAAACTGAAGCAGTCGGAGAAAACCTGCCCCAGTGTCACTTTGTCCACCACAAATCCCACATGACCTGACCAGGGCTCGAACCCGGGCCGCCGAAGTTGGAATCCCGCGACGGCACGGTCTAAGACGTCACTCGTTAAGCGAATTGAACGCTCTTGTCACGGCTCTGTGTACAGGTCATACAGATATGCGGAGTAGTGCACATCGTGGCTCCTGGCTTCAACATCGATGGGGGCACGCCGTAGCGTAGTTGGATGAGGCACTACGCTACACTCCGGAAGGTCATGAGGTCGATTCCCGATGTGATCACTGGATTTTTCAATTAACGTAATCGTTCTAGCCTTAGGATTGGACTCAGCCTGTAATAGAAATGAGTACTAGAAATCTAAAAGGTAAAAGGCAAAGTTGTCCCTGTGTTTAACTAATTAAACACTACGCCATGAAGTCGTAAGGGATGAATCTATCTGGGTGTAAAGGGTGGCCGGTGCATAAGGCTGACCCCACTGCCATCTGTGATGTCTAGAAAATGCGGGAGCCCCATGGGCCTCCAAGGCCTCTTACAGGCATAGCTTAGCTTCCATACTGATGGGTGTTGCTCACAATGGATTTTACATACAATCTGTGTGTTTCTTACGTTATGTTTATATTATGTTGTGTGTTCCGTATGGTTCTCACAATAAACAGGGACTGTTTCCCTAAACAGCATTAACCGGTTGGTCTTTCTAGCGGATACTTAATGTGTTTCCTATGAGGTACGAACTGAATCTTTATATATTATTTGTGTGTTCCGTATGGTTCTCACAATAAACAGCGACTGTGTCCCTAAACAGCATTAACCTTTTGTGCTTTGTAACAGAGACGTAATGTGTTTCCTGTGAGGTAAGAACTGAATCCTTATACATTATTTGTGTTCCGTATGGTTCTCACCGTAAACAGCGACTGCTTCCCTAAACAGCATAACCGGTTGGGCTTTGTAGCGGATACTTAATGTGTTTCCTATGAGGTACGAACTGAGTATTATTTGTGTTCCGTATGGTTCTCGCAATAAATTTGAATACGTGTTGGGGAGTGGATGTATAGCTCCACCATTGTTGACCTCGGCACTAGACGGAGGTGGATGATCAGCTTCGCACACTGGTCCCTTTACCCCCGCGGACGGAGCCCCCAACACCCACTGGATAGGAGTCTGGGTGGGACTCAGAGCCGGTCGAAATGTTGTGGAGAAGAGAAAATCTCTTGTCTACTCCGGGAAACAAATCCTGACCGTCCGTTGCTATGTCGGCTGAACTATCCAGCCTCATCCTGTTTTAACTATTAAAATGCATTTTATCTTTACATTTACCTGGAGGGGCTAAGGAAAACCCAGGATACCTCAGTCAGGGTAGTTGGTTACGCACAGAATGCCATTAACTTCTTGATGTAGAAAACTCCCGTGAGCACTTCCCACGCGCCTGCAGTTGAGTGTGAAAGTGATCGTCATCTTGTCTGTTCGTATAGACTTCTCTAAATTTTCATCTTGCAAACAGCCAGTAAAATAATAGTCCCTACCGTGTAACAGACACTAACAAGGTGTGCTGTTTCTCCATCTCTCTCTTCTTAATCCTCTTGCTTTCGTTTCATTGCTGCATGTGTATTGCATTATGATCCGGCCGCAGAAGAACGGTCTTCAAGTTGAAAGCAATTTGTAATGTTAGCTTCGTACATGTGTGTGTGTTTTTAGATTGAGTAAAACTTCTGGCAGGCGGAGTTTGGAATAAATAAGAAAATAGCACCTTGAGGGGTTCATTAGAATTAACATAAGTCAAGATTCGGATTGATGGTTTGGGGATGTTGGACGAATGGTGTCAGTGCACCCAAAAATGTTCATTTTCGCTTAACACAACCCTGCTGTCTGCATTTTAAAATATAACTCTACTTCCGCGAAACTGGACAGAATTATGAAACACGCGTGTTAATTTCTCCATAACGCTACAAATATATTTTTCTTGTCTTATACATTACCGAGAATGAATACTTATCTTTTATAAGCGATATTATTAAATATATATAAGAGTCGCCGGTAGAGAGATTTTCTCTCCTTTTCACGTCATCAGACCGGTTCTGAGGCCCACCCAGCTCCCAATTCAATGGATATCGGGGATGATTTCGTCGCGGATAAAGCGGCTGGAGCGCGAAGCTGACCACTCGCCTCCATCTAGTGCCGAATTCAAGAATGGTGGCGCTATACCTTCAATCACCCATACGTTTTCTTGGCGTTGTACTTAATTAATTGAAGCCAGAGTTAATATTTTGTTAATGTAAGTTGAGATATATCTGACAATAGCAACTATTATTTTAGGCAATTTATATCGCCTTGAGGTATTTAAACATAGTTTTTCGGAAAGGTCTATTTCCAACATCAGCAATTTTCCTCTTCGGTTTGGGCCATTAGGAAATTTAGTCTAGATTACTGGACTAATTGGCCTGACAAATTACTGTATAAATTTTAGTTCATACCTCACAGTAAACACACTGCAACTCGCTGGGTTTGTGTCTCCCTTACAAGGCCCAACCGGTTAATGCTGGTTAGGAAAATAATCGCTGTATATTATGAGAACCATACGGAACACACTGATAATATGTAAAGATTCTGCTCGTACCTCACAAAAAACACATTACGTCTCCATTACAAAGACCAACCGATTAAAACTGTTTAAGGAAAGAACCGCTGTTTATTGTGAGAATCGTACGAAACACGTAAATACTCTGTAATGGGAAATTATTCAAATTAGTGCTACGTGTAGCAACCATTGTGGTTAACGTGTAAAGATTAGAAGCATTATGTTTCTTTATTTGAAGACAAAATATTCAACCGATATAATCAGTACTTTCATTTATTGTGACGTGAAGAAAAATAAAATTTACGGTATCCATATTTTAATGTGGATGAGAAGAGAGAATTTTGACGTTAACATTTAGAAATATTGTTTCTTGTTAAGAGTAATCCAATTCTGTTTCAGGTTTCTTAAATTGGGTACACTAATTGGAGGGAACGTTACTTTTAATTATTCCGTCATAAAATGTGAGAAGAAACTGCTGTGTGTACCCCCTCCCTGGACCTGCCAGCAGACAGGCGCCTACAAATCATTCTCTTCACTAGTTAACTGCAGCAGTACGCCCACGAAATGGGGAAGATATCTGCAAGCGGACGAACACACCGTGCGACGGGCATAGCGCTGCTTTGCGCCTGGAGAAATAGGCCGCTACTAACTAGGTAAGTGTGCACCTACTCAGCTAAGTTACAATTACCTGAGTAAATTACAAATAATACTAGTAACTGAGGCCTTAAACAATTAATCAGAATTTTGAAACATGACATTCTTCTGTATAACTTCTGAAAATTCAGTTCGTACCTCACAGGAAACACATTACGGCTCGACTACAAAGCCCAACCGGTTAATGCTGTTTAGGGAAACAGTAGTTGTTTATTGTGAGAACCATACAACCATACAACACAAAACAGTTACGTGATAAGTACCGCTGTTGCGTGACGCCGTGTTTACAGGTTGCCTAGCAACATTGTCGAGAGTTGTTTACTGCTGTGTAGTAACCACGGTATCCATTGTTACGTTACTGTGGGAAGCGCCGCCACGTCACCGCGGCAACGGCCGCCTGACACAGCCACTCCTCTGTTACGTCACTGCGGGGGGGGTTACCGAGCGTTGCGTGATAATGGAAGGGGTGGGGGTATGTGACGTCACTCGCGAGCCCGCGGAGTTCACGTGACCCCTACTTCCCGTTGCGCCATCCACGTTACAGTAATAAACTGCAGAATTTGTAAACAGGAAGAGAATTGGAGCAACAGATATCATCTTAATAAATAATTATTGTTTCGTAAAGGAGCATTTGGATGCTGTAAGACATAATTGAATTGTCGACTACTTTGAAGGAGTTTAATGCGTCGAAGTCGCAAATTTGGTAATTCTTCTTTGAGGGGAAAAACTGTAATAATTATTTAAAAGAGAAATTTCTGAAAACCATTGCAACAGATCGGCATACGGGAGAATGGAAAATAGTAAATTGAAATAAGTGTCAAAATTAGCCAAATCATACGAAGTAACTCCAAATAACAAAACACTACTACAGAAGCTAACACTCTTTCTGCTCACCAAGAAACACCCAGCAATAATAGAACTCGAAAGTTCATTACCCTGCTCACGAGAGGTTACATCGTCTGACTCCATGGAGCTGCTTCTTTCCTGAGAAGCTAGCAGTGACTCGTCTACTTAAGAAATTACCAGCATTTTATGGAACTCTAAGGCCCATTGTCGTGTAACCTCCTTCTTTAGAGAGACGAATCCAATCCATACCCTCCCATTCTATCTCCATGAATACATTTTAGTATTATCCTCCCGTCTGAGCGTAGGTCTTCCAAGGGATTAATTTCATCCTCTTTTTCGTACCAGAATTCTGTTTACTTACCTTATCTCCTCTATGCTAGCACAAGATCCACCCACGTCATCTTTTTTCATTTTTTTACCATGATTATTATTCGGCAGCGAGTATGAATTATGAAGATCCTCTTCATGCAATCTGCTCCATTCTCTTAGGCCCAAATATTCTCCTCAATACCCTGTTCCTCTCTTGAAGCGGGAGACAAGAAATCTCAAGAAATAAGAGCAGCCACTTGGTTGAAATCTTGCATTTGTTTCGTAGAAGAGCTACAATTTTAAAATATTGTAGCATGTAGACCCGTTGCTAAATAATGGCTCTGTAAACAACGCCCGTTGCTAGGCAATAAATTTATAACATGCACCAATGCACTAAATGTGAAGTGGTTTTCTCTGCACGGTCCTTGCTACAGCTGCGTGATGAAACGATAGAAGAACTGTTAGAAGTGTTTTCAATGCGGTCCATGCGGAGGTGTTATAAATAGGACAAATCTAGAGTTTAGTTAGTTGTGAGACAGTCGCCGGCCAATGAGTACGTGAACACGGATGTTGAAGAATCTACAGCATTGAAAGCCGTTGCCAGACAATGACCGGTGAAGACACAAGAGACTGAGAAGATTTAGTATGTGCTGAGTTCAAATGCAGAGTGTGTGCATTAGCGACAGCACTGTAGTTACGATATGTAAATATTCAATAAATCCAGATGGAATTATTAATGAATGTAGAAGCAGTTGGTTAAATAAGAATTGGCAGGAAAATCCAAGTATCTGCCCCAGTGCCACTTTGTGCGCCACAAAACCCAGATGACCTGCCAGATCCTGCAGGCTGAGCTGTAGCATGTCTGTTAAGCAATGGATTTAAATTATTTACGCAACTGGTATTGAAATATACGTATGTGTTACCATTATATTCTTGTTAAACAGATCAATCTTGTTTAACACTGGCGCCTCGGCCAATTATTTAGCTCTGATCATGCGCGAACGACTCTGTGTAGCTTCAGGGCACATGGCGTTTGCAGTAAACATCGCTGTGTGACGTGGTGGGCGCCGTCAGGATTTATTCCGGGTGGGGGGGTCCAGTTTTTGCAATCACGGTGCGAGGCGCACAACCAGAAAGTTTGCTGACGAAGTTAACTTTTAAGCCGTTTAAGACGAACAGCGTGAAATTTTTAGAAGTAATTATGTTTTTTCGGAGGGCACGCGGTAGCGTAATTGGTTGAGACACTATGTTACAAGCCGGAAGGTCGTTCAGAAGGAATTTAATGTGTGAGTTCTCATACTGACTGTAATTGTAAAGAGGTGCCAATAAATCCAGACATAAAATACAGAATCCACAATTATTAGTCACGCAAACCACGATACGATACAATATATATATATAGTCGTTATTTTGGACGAATGCATCCTCGGATGGTAGCTTCATCTTCAGTTAAAATAATCGACCATCTCTTTTGAACGAACACACACCGTACCGTTTATTAATCTACCTTATATGACGTCAGATAGTAGGATTATGAACTGGGTAAGGTAAAAGAAAGTAAAGTTGTCCCTGTGCTTAACTGGTTAAACACTACTCCTTGAAGGCGTAAGGGGGATGTATAGATCCACGTTTTCTTGACCTCTGCTGGAGGTGAGTGGTCAGATTCATGTTCCGACCGCTTTACCCCGGCGGAAAGATGCCCCGGTACCCATTGGATAGGAGACTGGGTGACCCCCGATTCGATCTGGACGACCTGGAGAGGAGAAATTTGTTGACCCTACCGGGACTCGAAGTCAATCCCTCAGTCATCCAGCCCGTAGCCAGTCGCTATACCGACAGCCGTATCCCTGCTCATATGATTGGGTAGTATGTGGAAAGAAGTGGTCTTCACATATGTTCCGGAATTGTTTCTTCTTGTGGATTGAGAGTTGAACCCGGAGCCACGAATTGAGGAGACTCTTTGCAAGCGAACCACGGTAAATGCAACAGTCTGGGGGAGGAACCCGATCCATTTGGCATCCCCGCTGTGGTGAGGGGGTTAAACTGGCGAGGGTGTGGCGCAATTACTGAGACCGAGTGTAACTTTACGTGTTAAACCGGCTCACGGGGCACCATTTTATTTATATATTTATTTATTGCCTTTTTTACCTCATGTATACAGAAATCCTGCCACGGCAAGTTGTTGTACTGGTTTGTTTTTCTTTCTGTCGCACTCCATCGCCTACCACCAGTGTTAGCTCGTGGAGACTGCTTTGTTTCAGTGTGCATATTATCGGCTCCAAAAACGTCGGCCTTAGACACAGAATATTATTTTTTTGTTTTAGTGTCTCACAGCAACCACTAGCACCAAGAAGGCACAGTAGCATAACACCGACGTCCCCATAAAGGGCAGAGTTCGGGAACACGTCATACACACGAGCACCTTTCTCCTACTCCACCCCATCTATATCATCATCATCATCAGCAGCAGCAGTCTGTCAAGACGACAGGTCCACAGTCTCTTCCAAAACAATTCCTCCACTTAATGCGATCTAGAGCTTTCTCCTTCAAATGACAGTATCCTCTTCTGTCCCCAAGGTCATCCAGCATCTTCTTACGTCTTCTTCCTCGTCTTCTTGTCACTTCCATCTATATATATATTATGCTTCTTTACAATCTACATCATTACAGAGTATTAAGTAAATGTATTGTAGGTGGTTAGCTTGCAAGGGAAACTTCCTGTGATATTTCTCCTACATGAAGTCTATTTCATTGATTGATGATGTCTTGGGGCCATGTTCTGTTCAGTCTTCTTGTCACTGGACCGTTGGTGTATAGCTCTTCTATTAATTCGTTGTCGTGGGATATATATAATTAGAACTTTTTCTTTGAATATAACAAATTTAAAATAATGTTCAGTAATTAAGATAAATATTTCAATATATTAAAATATTGTTATCCTTTGTAAAATTTGTACGTTACAAGACTAATAGCAATGACTGCATTGCGACACGAGGTCCACTAACGAATGTGGATGCATTCTACTGATGATGGTCGCAAATAACTGAAACATATAACAAAAAGCAACATCTGAATAAACTAAGTGGTTTTATTGACATTTGAGCCTATAAGTTATTCAATGGAAATGTAGAATTGTGATCGACGGACAAATGCACATAGTACGAGTAGTTTCAGTAGAAGTTCGTTGACGTTTCGGAGGAACGTACTTTTCCCCATTTTCAGGGTCTACGATATGCAAATCAAAGAACCAGCCAGAAGCCAGCTCTATCGGACTGCATGGCGTGACGTACTCATCAAAGTACACGACGTTCTGTTTAGCTGTACAAGTTCTGACATAAGTGCTCTACGAGCAGACGTGCGTCATAGCAATTTCAGTTGTTGCTTGCGTATTCGTTTTCGCGGGAACGTGTTTCCCTAGCCGTTGCATAGCAATGGACGTCTTCTCTGGTTCCAGTATTCCGACTTTCAGGCGTCGTGTCACAATATTATAATTACATTAGATATTAATTTATGCATTTTACAATTCCTTTCCTTGGGGTCCAGGCACTTGCTCAAGTGTTCCAGAATTACCAAGGAAGAAAGTCTGACAACCGTTGGCTCAGAGTGAACCTCTGTCTCTTTAATTTGTTAGGATCTGGCCGTATGTTTTCAAGTTGTGTAGTAGTGTAGGCAGTGGAATCCAGTAATGCTGTGCAGTGTGATAGACCGGGCACGTGTGCTTTATTCACAGCTCTCCTCCTTCAATGTAAGGCATGTCTAGTGTGCTTATACTGGTCAAGAAATGGATATGCCCACTATGTGGAGCCTAGCACTCAGTACGTGTCACCATGTGTGGACATATGTG